TCCTTTGGCTTGCACCTGCTTTGGCTCTCTCTCACCATCCAGGGCCACACAGTCAGGGAAGAGGAAAGAGATGGAGCCCAAGGCTGACTGCCATCAGCAAGAAGGCATGTTAATCACCATCCTTGTGATTGGGCCCTTGGCCGAGACTGGCCTGTGGAGAGAGGGTCAGGATGACTTGGATGGAACCACTCAGTTAGTGGGGAAATGAAAATCTTGACTCAGGGAACAGTTGGAGAACTGTGGGGATACTCAGGTCCCCCTGATGCCATCTATCGAGACAGAGACCACATGCTTCAGTGTATTCAGAGCACTGGACATAAGACAGGCGTTCTTGCTCATTCTGCTGTGTAACTCAAGAAAGCACTCAAGATGGAGGCCGATCCTACCCGTCTCCCAGGACAGTGGCAAGGACTTGATGGACTGAGAAAACTATTAGGGCCCTGCCATCAGTCTGTATTTACCTACGTAACTGCTCACCCATCTCTGTAAAATAAGCACGAGATTAGTTGCTACTTTCTACAGTGGTGAGAACTGGAGGGGGGGGAAGGATGCTACAATACTTCTGCTAATCCCCATACCGATGGGAGTGACTATTGCTGCCCATCTCTCTTGGAGGCAAACTGCCCACCGGTTGTTTAATGCAGTGCTGTCCAGATGGAGCCGAATGTAAGTCACAGATGTCAGTTAATACTTTCTGATGTTATTTAAAAGAAGGTGAAAGGGAATAGTTTCAGTAAAAATCTCTCCTTCCAAGGGTGTGTGGGGAGGTCCCTCAGACCCTGAGAAAGAGCCAGGGAAAGGGCCTGGCAAAGTGGGGGTGACTCTGCCTACTGGGACCCTCCTAATTCCTTTGTATGCTTACTACCCCCGAGACCTAGAGCTTCAAGAATGCCTTTTTGAAAGCACTGGGTTGGAATCCGATGCCCCTTGTCAGGGGCAGGGAGCAGTGAATTGACAGCAGCTTTGGGGACTAGGAAGAGGAAGAGCCTGGAGGAAGCAGCCTTGTCTGGAGGCTACAGACCTTGAGAAGCTCTGAGTAAGCTGGAGCCACAGACTCCCCTCCCCCTGGGCCTGGGGAGAGGTGGCAGACCTGGGGCTCCTTGGAGAAGCCCGGAGAGCTTAACATCTGGGCTGCAAAGGCAAAGGCAAAGGCAGGCTCCGAGGGGCCTGATGACTCAGCCTCCCCCTCCTCGCCCCTGCAGGAGTGGCCTCTGCATTACTACAGCCCTGCGGGGCCGGAGAGCTCTGAGGCTGGAAGTGGGTGCTGTTCTTTTCTACCCAACACACACACACACACACACACACACACACACACACACACACACACACACACACACACACACCCCTTCTACCTCACTGGTCCTCAGAGACTCCCACACCACACCAAAACCCCTCTGCCTTTAGGATAGAAGGGTGGGTGGGTGGGTGAGTGTACCTGGGGGTAGAATTTGGCCTCCAGGAGATGGAGCAGCCTAGGAGAGCGAGGAAGAAGCAGGGAGGGAGTGGGGACAGTGTATACCTGAACCACTCTCGGGCTAGCAGGTAAGCTGAGCTGGGGCTCACACTTCGTGTTGAACTTCTGCCCAGGAGCTGTGGGGGCAGAGAGCCTCTGTACTCCCTTAAAGAATAACCTTTACCCAGGACTGCTGGTGTAAGCCGGCTTTGCTCTGACGCCTCCGACAGGCAGGGTCTCCCAGACCACCATTTGGAGCTAAAGAGTCCCACGGTGGTATGTTTGGAAAGAACCCCGACCTTGGGTGGTAGGGAGAAGGGTTTGCTTTTGGGCGAGGACTTCTAACTGGTGTTGTGGAGGGCTAAGGAGGACTGACTGTTCTGCAGAGGACGCTGGCTTCCCTGCAAGGGAGGTTTGGGAGCCATGCAGCTTCCAGACCCTCCACTTTTCCTTCTCTTCTTTCCTTTTCTCCCCGAACCTTTTAAGAAAGGGGCTGGGACTCTGGGTACAGCTTGCCAGGTTATCTTCCCCTCCCCTGGCAGGGGCAGAGGTAGCTGTTGGCTTGGCTGTCAGGGAACAGAAGGCCATGTGATTTGGGGTGACCCAAGGCGAGCTGCAGGGGCCTTCATTTTTTGGCAGCAGTGTGCCCTTCCTTCACCCTGTTTCCAGCAATTTTTGGTAGCCTTGCTTTGGGGGTGGAGTGGAGAGAAGAGGAACTGGCAGGGTGGGGAAGCAATGAAGGAACAGTGCTTGGGGAAGGTGAAGCTAAAACTCCAGCTGGACACCTCAGTTTGAACCCCGGGGAAGGGAGTGGCCGCAAAGAAGAGAGACAGGGGATGGAGGACTAGGAGAAGACCCTGCCCAAAGAAAACTGGAGACTTAGAAGCCAGGAGACCTCGGGAGAGCAGAAGCTTTGCAAGTGCACAGCTGGGGCCACTGGGCTCCCTCGTGCTCGTGCTCGAGCTCAGCTCCCGGGAGTGGGGGGTCTCAGCCCTCCACCCCCAAGGTCTGGCAGACCCCCAGCCTTGCCACCGGCACCGGCCACCCCGCCTTGAAGCAGGCTCTGGTACGGGGAGAGCCCAGTGTGGGCTGGTCCCCTGGGCACTTCGGGGAACCACGGTCTGCACAGACCCGAGCCCGAATTAGTGAGGCCGCCGCCGAACGCCCCCCAACTGAGGAAAACGCGACAGGGCCGCTTGCAGAGCAGGTGCCTGCCGGCAGCGCCCAACTTCAGACCCGACCTGACCCAGGCGCTCTCTCCCTCGCTCCAGAGTTGGCCTGATCATTTCAGCAGAGAACACGCTTCGCGAGGAAGGTTGAAGACGGCGTTTTCAGCATTACAGTGGCTGAGCCAGCCCTTTCAGGGCAGGTTTTGGTTAAAGTACATTTATTATTATTTTTAAATAAGCGGCCCGAGACCACCCTCACCCCAACCTCACAAGGGCGCAAGAACGCAGAGTTTTCTGATTAATTGGAGGCAACTATTTTACTTTCTAACATTAGAAACAGTCTGGCTGCGTCCGCCTCGGGGCGGCCCGCTTGCCCCCACGCGCGGCGTCGGAGGGGCTGGTCCTGGCCGGGCCGGGGCGCGACACACTCACCCGAACGCGCTGCTGCTGCCTTTCGCTGCGCGAAGACCAGAAAGCGACGCGTGAGGCGGGTCGGGTCTCCCGCTACAGCGAATTTGCGATTTATCCGGTTTCTGCTCCCGGGTCGGGGTCTCGCGAAGAATCTCTTATTTCGAGCCTTTCCGGACGGGAGTAGGGTTCACCTACGCAGCGCCGCAGCCCTGTCTGGAAGCCCAGCGCGGTGCGCCCCGGGCTCCCCGTCTGCGCTCAGGGAGGCTTCTCTTTCCACAGCCCCGAGCCCCCTCACTGAGGCATTTCCTCTTTCCGCCGCCAGCCTGACTGGCCTTTGACTTTCTCGAGAGGGGGCTGCCCCAGGGCACCCTGCCCCCTCTGCCTAGCACCCCTAGAGCTGGGGCGCGCACGAGGGGTGTCAGGGGGAGCGAGGAGCGCGGAGCTCGCGGCTGAGTCGGAGGACGCGACCCGAGGACCCGTGCGTGGCTCGAGGGGAACCTGTTCTGGGCTCCGGTTCACACCAGTCTGCCTTCCAGGCTGGCTCAGGGTTGGGGCAGCTCTGGTGACCCGGCCGGGGGCAAGGTGCTCTCCAAGCCTTGCGGCCGCGGGCCGGGCAGCTCGGCGCCTTTGCTCACAGTGACCACTTGGGGTCGCACTTTATGCCTGTTTGAGCCTCTCCACCGCGGGCTAAGGCCAGGATCTGCTTAATCGTTACAAAACGTTCAAACAAAAACAGGGCCGGCTCCCCAGCAGCCGAATGCCATCTGGAGCACGGTCCTAGGCTGGCCTTACCCCCAAGACTCGGGGAGCTCAAGGTTCCGTGCGTTTGTCTGGAGGAAAGAAATTCAAAGGCTTTTGGTGAATTCTTTCTGTTTTCCCTTCATCCTGGGCGTTTGTGGGTGGAGGGAGCGCGGGGAGCGGCCGGGCCCGTGGAGTCCTAGCTCAGGGCTCCACCACCGCACCCGCCAGGACAGCAGCGGTCTCTGCTTGGCCCAGGGAAGGTCCCCTGAGACCAAGAGTTGGATGTGAGCACAACTCTTAGAGGCCCAACACCACCCCACGCCACACAAAATAAATTTGCGCGGACCTGCACAAACATAGGCATGCCCGGCACACACACGGCCCGCAGCTGCGCGGAGCACGGAGCGTCCCCCGCCGGGCGGGGGGACGCTTGGGAACAAAGGGCCTTGGAGGTGTCGTCCCGGAGCTCATTCTGAGCCTCCTCGGGGGTGACACGAGCTGGGGGTGAAGGAGCAAAGGGCAGAGCGAGAGGGGAGCGCTGGCAGAGGTGGAAGCGTTGGTCTGGCGTTAAGGGGGGCGCGCACCGAAGGCGAGCGGGTGGGGGCCGGGACCTGGAGGGTGTGGGGGGCTGGGCCGGGGCCGGCCGTCCCACTCGGCTCCAGTCCTCTGCCAGGCCTCGGCGGCTCCGGGGCTGCTCTGGCCGCCAGTCAGCTGACTCGAGGGGCGGAGAAGCTGTCAGGCGCGCCCCGCCCTGCGCCGCCGGGCCGCTGGGGCCGTGCAGCCATTGGCCAGCGCGCTGGGCCGCCCGGGCCCCCTCGCCCCGGTGACATCAGGAAGGCGATAAAAGGCAGCCGCGGCGCCGGAGCCAGCACAGCTGCACCGCCGGGCTGCGAGCGGCTGCGAGCGAGAGAGCCCAAGAGCAAGAGAGCTAGAGAGCGAGCGGCGGGCGCTCGCCCGGCGCCTCCCCTCCGCCCAGCCGC